CTTCTTTGGAAAAATGTCTATTCAGGTCCTCTGCCCATTTTTTAACTGGGTTGTTTTTCACTGTTTGGTTGTATCAGTTCTTTACATATTTCGGATGTTAACCCCTTATCAGATATATGATTGCAAATATTTTCTCCCATTCCATAGGTTGCCTTTTCATTTTGTTGACTGTTTCTTTTGCTGTGCAGAGACTTTTTAGTTTGATGTAGTCCCACATATTTATTTTTGCTCTTGTTGCTCGTGCTTTTGGTGTCATATCCAGAAAACTGTTGCCAAAACCAATGTCAAGGATCTTTTTGCCATATGTTTTCTGCTAGGAGTTTTATAGATTCAGGTCTTATGTTTAAGTCTTGAACCCATTTCAAGTTAAATATTGTGAGTGGTGGAAGAGAGGGGTCCAATTTCATTGGACAATGCAATCTCAATCAAAATTCCAAAGGCCTATTTTGCAGAAATGGACAAATGGATCTTCAAATTCCTGGAATTGCAAAAGGCCTTGAATAGCCAAAACAATACCAGAAAAGAAAAACAAAGTTGGTGAGCTCACACGTCCCAATTTCAAAACTTACTACAAAGCTACAGTAATTAAAACTGTGTGGTACTAGTATAAGGATAAACATACAGACCAATGGAATAGAACTGAAAGTCCAGAATTAAACCCTAACATATATGGCCAATTGATTTTCAACAAGAGTGTCAAGATTATTCAACTGGGAAAGAATTGTCTCTTCAACAAATGGTGCTAGGACAACTGGACAACCACAGGCAAAAGAATAACATTGGACTGCTACCTCACTCTATACAAAAATTAATTTAAAATGGGTCAAAGACCTAAATGTAAGAGCCAAAACTATAAAACTATTAGAAGAAAAGATAGGGGTAAATCTTTTTGACCTCAGATTTGGCAGTGGATTTTTAGATTTGACATCAAAAGTACAAGCAACATCAACAACAAAAACAGATAAATGGACTTCATACAAATTAAAAACTTATGTGCATCAAAGGACATTATCAAGAAAATGAAGACAATCTACAGAATAGGAGAAAATATTTGCAAATCACATATTAGATAAGTGTTCAGTGTCCAGAATATATAAAGAATTCTTACAACTCAACAACAAAAAGACAAACAATCCAAATAAAAAACGGGTATAGAACATGAAAAGACATTTTTCTAAAGAAAATATACAAATGGGCAACAAGCACATGAAAAGATGTTCAACATCATGGTTCATTAAGGAAATGCAAAGCAAAATCATGAGACATCACTTCACACCTGCTAGGATGGCAATTAAAAAAAGAAGAGAAATGAACAAGTGTTGGTGAGGATATAGAGAAAGAGGAATTCTCCTACATTGTTGATAGGAATGTAAAATGGTGCAGCTGCTATGGAAAACAATTTGATTTTTCCTCAAAAATTTAATAAATGACCAAGCAATTCCACTCCTAGGTATATATCCAAAATAACTGAAAAACAGGGATTTAAACAAATAGTTGTTCACAAATATTCATAGCAGCACTATTCACAAAATACAATAGGCAGAAACAATCCAAATGTCCATCAACTGATGAACGGATAAACAAATTGTGATATACACACACACACACACGGAATATTATTCAGCCATAAAAAGGAATGAAGTATTGATGTATGCCTCAACTTCAATGAAGTACTGATATGCTACAACACTTTAAAATAGCTAATTGTATGTTATGTGAATTTCACCTCAATAAAAGGAATAAAAAGAAAAAATAAAATAAAATAAAAACTTTTCCAAATAGTAATGTAGTAGTGATCTGAAATTTGGGCCTGTAAGAAACGCTAGGTCCCAAGAACAGTTCAAAACAGAGTTGCACTCTATTTTAGAGTTGTACCCTATTTTTGAAGTGAATTCTAATAATATATGTAGGTATGTATGTATATGTATATCCAGGAGGAATACATTGCCTTGCAAAGATATAGTCTTTTCCAACCATTTTTAATTTCAACCCTAAAATGCTTTCTCACTTTAACTGCCATCTATCCACTTGCCACCAATAAAGAAATCACTGAAAATACTTTTTCACCTTCTCAAACTCTTCCAAAAAATTGAGGAGTGGGGGGAGCTCCCTAACTCATTCTACGAAGCCAACATTACCCTGATACCAAAACCAGACAAGGACAACACAAAAAAAGAAAACTACAGGCCAATATCACTGATGAACATCGATGCAAAAATCCTCAGCAAAATACTAGCAAATCGCATACAACAACACGT